TGAACATCTTGCTGCGGGAGGAGCAGAGACACAAAGGGCCCGCGTGAGCGCCGGGCGCCAGGGAGCAGGGGGCGCGGGCCCGGGCCCCGGGGAGGCCCCGGCCCGACCCGGATCGGCCATGTTGGCGGGGCCGGGGTGGACGCGGGCCGGGCGGGCCGGGCCGGGCCGGGCCGGACCGTACCAGGGGTCGTGCGGCGAGTCCGGGGAGGCGAGGCCGGGCTGGGGCGCGTCGGTCTCCATCGGGAGCCGCGGGCGGCGCGGGCAGCGGAGCGGCGGCGGCGGCGGCGCTCGGCGCGGGGCAGATGAGGAGCGCGGCGAAGGGGGCCGGACGGACAGGCCATGCTGCCCCCTCCCCCGACCCCGCTCGGGCGGGCGGGCGGGGACGGCCGAGGGGAGGGCCCGCCGGGGGCCGACCTGCCGGCTCCTCCCCCCGCCGCCCCGCGCGCATAAAGCCCGGCGCGCGCCCGGGCGCCCGCGGAGGCGGCGGTGCCGGGAGCCCCCCTCCCGCGGGGCTCCTGGCCGTCCGGGGGGCGAGCGAGGGCCCCCCCTGAATTCCCGGTCGCGGGCTCGGGCCCGGGGCGCGGCCGCACCCCTCACCCACGGCGGAGCGGGGGCGGGCCTCGGGAACGCCTTCCCGGGAGGAAGCGGTTTCCCGGTGCGTTCAAGGTAGCTCGGCTTCGGATCGGGAACCCTCCCCGGTCTCCCCTCCCAGGTCCCCGCTATTCAGAATTGAGAAGACGCCCCCCGGTCTTCCCGGGCCGGCTTGGAGATAGCCCAGTGCCCCCCCCAAACCCCACACCTTCCAACTGGTAAGACTCTCTCCTTCTCCCAGTCCGAGCCAGAAGATGCCCTTGGGCCCCCAGTTTCCCTGAACCTAATTTCGACCCCCCTGACGACGGTCTCCAGTTCACTTCTCGCTTCCCACGTCCAGTGTGGGGAGCCCTCGAAGTGCCAAGCGGGGACCGTCTGTCAGCACACTGGCAGAATCTTGCCCAGCCTTCCTTGCCCTTCCTCGGCCCTTGCTGTCCGCATGAAGTGTGCCTTAGACTCCCCGAAGTCCCTTCTCCCCACACCCGGGACACCTATGGTCTGTGGAGAGAACGCCCTGCCTGCAGCCAGGGTTCTCTCGGTGTCGCCTCCCCCCCTTCTCCGAGAAGCGCCTCTTGCCTGCCTCGCCCTTCCAGCCCCTTTCGGACTGTCTGGAGTCGGGGAACCTGGTTCCAGACGCCAGCCAGCCGGAGAGACGTCGGGGTCTCCGAGGTTCCAGGGCGGGATGCTGGTGACGACGCTGTGCACCTTGCCCTCCCGGTGACCCCCTCTTTTACAGAGTCCGACCTCCCTCCAGCCTGATTTGGGAGAACCTGGGCTACCTTCCCACCGGGTTAGGAGTTAACTCCTGTCTTCTCGCCTCTAACTCGTGGGTCTTTAGGATCTCCTCCAGTCTCTTCACTCACCCTTAGAACTCCTTTACTGCATCCTGGAAGACCAAGAAAGTCCCTTACAGATGATGGGAGGTAGGGTCCACCCTCCTTGCTCAAGCCTAAGGAATCCCTTCACTTCCCTGGTTGAAACCATCTTGGAAATGATCAAAACAGGAGTCTCAGCGGGGAGGGGGCGGTCCACCTGCGCCGCTAACCCGGCTAGCCATCTCTACAAGCCCCTCCCCACCTTACCTCTCGACCTTTCCTTCTCTCTGCCTGACATCCACCCAGTGTACCCCAATAGCACTTGTATACCTGTCTCGCGCTTGATGCACCCTTGTATTAATGCATGCCCCAGCGCCGGCATCCCAACCTGGAGATGCGATCCGGGTCCTCTTAGCACACTCCCCTCCCCCATCCATCACACGGGGAAAGAGAGAGAGAGAGCCAGCCTCCTTTGAAGGTTTCCTTAGGAACCTCGTGGGAGCGCTCAGCAGGTATATCCTGCCACTGGGTACAAACAGATTTGCTTTTTCCTATTTGTCGCCTCCTACTCTCCCACAGTTTCTCAGCACCCCTTGGACTGGGAGGTGGGATGGGGAGCATCTTACACAGGACACCTCTTACCATCTCAACCTAAGCTGGACCTCAACCTAAGGTGCACCCTGGGAGAGACATAGCTGAGGGTGAGCAGGTCAACCACTTTCTGCGTCCAGTCTCAGTGACCTGATTCGTTCTAGATCTGAACCCCTGGTTCCTTGTGTCTAAAATGTCCTGAGACAAGCCGGGAAGGGCACATCTGTGAGTGCCTGTGCCTGTGCACGCTGGCTTACGTGCTCAGGCTTTTGGCAGGTGGTTCCGAGGCTGTGAAATAGTAAGTGTCACGTGCTCAGAGCCAGCCAGGACTGTGTAAGTAGTAGCTTGAGACAGCATCTTTTATTGGCATCCTCATTCAGGACCCTGGAGCAGAAAGCCCGTATTTCTGCCTGTCAATAACTAGCTTGTAGCACAGCGGCACTGAGTGGACTCAAGGCCCCTCCTACTGCAGGTTCGTGCTGGTTCAGTTCACTTTGCTCACACAAGGAGCAACAAATCCTTCTCAGGGTGCTCCTCCCAGTAAAACACAGGATCCTCATGGTTAGTTGAAGATCTGAGGAGTATTAAGGGAGAAGAAAACCACCCTTAGATCACTGGGGCCCAGACTCTCGACTTGGGAGATTAGAAGACGTGACCCCAGCTCCTCCCCAGTACTACCCACACGAGACACCTTCTGGACACTATTCCAGGTACAGCCAGCATTATGAGGTTGATTGGTGCCAGCCAGGATCAGGTGGATCAATAGGAGGGCTGTAAGGTGCTGTGGAAGAGCGATGGAGAGGCTGGGAGGGAGAGGGGAGAGAGGCACGCAGATGTATTCATTTAGGCAGCCCAGCCTGCCCTAGAACTCAGGATCCCCCCACCTCAGCCTCCTAAGTGCTGGGGTTACAGGTATGAAACAGCGCAGCAGGTTTGCTGTCCAGCTTGGATTCTCCTATATTTTATTTAGTGGGCGAGCGCACACACTGTGGTCCACAGAAGGAAGTCGGAGGGCAGCTGTCAAAAGTTGGTTCTTCCTGCCACTGTGTGGGTCCTGAGGACCAAACTCAGAAAGTCAGGCTTGGCTGCAAGAGCCTTTACCATCTTGTCGGCCCCTTTTATTTCATTTTAAATCAGGAAAGCCCTCACAGGGAAGGGGGTGAGTTGGGGGAGAAAGTACATGAATCTACTGTGTTATCTGGAACTTTTTGTTTTGTTTTGTTGAGACGTGGTCTTTCTGTGTAGCCCTGGCTGTCCTCAAACTCACACTCAGACCAGCCTCAAACTCAGAGATCCATCTGCCTCTGCCTCCTGAGCTGCTCCTGAGTTGGGATTAAAGGTGTGATCACTATCACACAGCTTTTTTTTTTTTAGGCAAGGGCTTCCTTGAAGTCCAGGCTGACCTACATAACAAGGATGACCTTGAATTTCTGATCCTTCTCCAACCTACTTCCCAAGTACTCGGATCATACCCAGGGCTTCATATATGCCAGGAAAATACCGTCTATCGAGTACCATCCCCATGTCATGGTTTGAGACAGAGTCTCAGTCTATAGCCCAGGTTGGTCTTTGTAGGCCAGGCTAGCCTCAGACTCAAGGCAATCCTCCTGCCTCACCTTTCAAGTGCTGATGTTACAGGCACGTACCACCTTGCCGGGCAGCAGAAGTCTGACGTCAGCATTTTTTTAAAGCAAGCCTCTCTCAGATAATGTTGGTAGCAGAGGTCTCCCTGAGGCAGGTTTCGGGGAAACTAACCAGGGACTGGAGAAACGGCTTGGTGGTTAAGAGCACTGACTGCTCTTCCAGAGGACCTTGGTTCAATACCTCAGCACCCACCCACATGGCAGCTCACAACTGTAACAGTTCCAGGGGTCCCTCACACATGCAGGCAAAACACCAATGTACATGAAGTAAAAATAAATGTTCAAAATAAATAACTAAAATAAACTAACGAGCTTTTGAGAGCAGCCGCCAGGCTGAAGGTTAAGCTATCATATGTTTGCCTTTAGTTTTTAATAGGACTTAGTTTAAAAATGTTTTGATTTTTTTATTGTGCCTTGTGAGAGCATGCAGGCACACTGTGCCGTGCACGAGGAGGTCGAAGGGCAGCTTTTGAGAGTGGGTTCTCTCTCCGCTGTCGGCACCCCCACACTTGGCACCTTCACGTGGCTCTTGGCTGGAGCTCAGATCCTCACCTGGCCCAGCTTTTGTTCTGTGTTAAGATTCACTGTGAGCTGGTGAGGTGTCTCGGAGGGTGAAGGCTCTTGCAGCCAAGGCCGGTGGCCCACAGTGGGACAGAGCTGACTTCCAAAAGTTGTCCTCTGGCTTCTGCGCACATGTGCTCACACAGGCGTAGGCTCACGCACACTTGGCCAATGAAGGTGTCGGCCGAAAGCAGTTCACTGTGTTTCCACTCTGAAAGGCAACGCCGCAGCAAAGACCTGGAAAGTCCAGCCCATCCCAGTTCTTCATACACAGCGAAATCTTGGCGTTAACCCGATTCTTCATTTACAACCTTGCCACCCGTCTCTGCCTTTCTTGCTTCCTTTCTCTTCCCCTCCGTTTCCTTGTGTGTGTGGGGGAGGTGTGTGGTCTGTATGCCGCGTGTGTGAGACCAGGCAACACTTCAGGTGTTGCCCTCAGGAACACAGTTGCCCTGTGAGACAGGCTCTCCGGTGGCCTGGAGCTCACTAACTAGACGGCAGCCCAGGGGCTAGCACCCCCAGATCTTGTATCTCGACGTGGTTCTTGGGGGCAAGCGCTTTACTGACAAGAGCCATCTTCCCTGACCCCGTCTTTCGTTCTCCTGCCCTGTTCTGTTCTAAGATGGGGGCTCATGAGGCACAGGCTGGCCTTGAACTCCTGCTCATCCCGCTTCCGCCTCCCAAGTGCTGCTATCACGGGTGTGCGCTGCCATTCCTGCCCATAGAGCCGGTCCGTTTTACAACCTTCTTGGTTCACAGCAACAGTGATCAGAAGGTCCAGAGACTGGCCGGTATGCCCGGCCCCTACACAGGCCTGGCGCCACCCATCTCAACATGGCCACCGCTTCAGCTTCATTTGTAGCAATAGGCAAACATATACAGATACAGTATCGGCGGAACTCCATAAGCCTTAGAGCTTGCTGTTGGTGTACATTCTAGGGGTGTAGGAAAGACATGCTGTGCGTCCACCATCGTATTATCAAATAAGGTAGTTTTGCGGCTGTGATCCTCCAAGTTCTGCCGCGTTCCCCTCTCCGCTGGTGTAGACACCATTGATCTTTTTGCTA